GATAATGTTAAGATTCTTAATTTTTTTTATGTGCAATTTTATTTTTTTTGTGTGCTTTTTACTTCTGTTTCTTCTCTTTATGGTTTACTTTTTGTTGTTTTCTTTTATTATTACGCATCGGTAAAGGATACCATGCGGATGTAAATTTGACTTCCATGCATAGATATCTGCAGTGATATCGGACTGTAAGATCTTGTTCCCTTCCTGCACTGTTTCATGGATGAATAAAACTGTAAATGTTAATAAAAACTATCTGATTAAAAAAAAAAAAAAGATGCCACAGCATCAAAATCTGTAGGATTCCTTTCATTATACAAAGTGTAAAATGCATATTTTTTATCAACACGTATACTGCGGTGTAAAATGGAGACATGTAAAAAAAGCGAGCTTTTTGTGCTTTATATGCATAAAAGAATCCAGAGCTATAAAATCCCCTAACGGATTAAAGATTTGAAAATCCATGCTGGAAAATCTCACTGTATCTAAAGACTCCTAAGCAGACAAAAGGAAATGATTCCTTCACTTTGTCTGAGTAAGAAAGGAAAAATGGCAGCACCAGGAATATAGCAAGGATGGCTAGAGTATGTCATAAATCTGACTAAAGATGTGATTGTATGCGGACATTTTACTACCTCAAAAACAAATTAGTAAAGCAATTAGGCAAATCAAACATCAAAATAATTATATTGTTATTTTCCAAAGACTGGCATAGAAATATTTTACATACCATCTCAATATAAGATCTATATTTACCTGCGAGGAAAAGTATAATTCTATCAAATCATTTAAAATTAATCTGTTAATCTTAACAGTATACAAATCTCTGATATAGTACACAAATTCCAAAAGCATACGAGTAATCAATCCCATTTCGATAAAAAAATGACTGAAGTTTTAATATTTTTCTGAAAACTATATGTATAGCTAAATGTTTGCTTTTTGGCATGGCGATAATCCAGCTGGCAAAGTATTAAGTGACAACAGAATAATTATTCTCGCTGTCACAATAGAAAATAGACAATGAGTTTAAAATCAACATCCTCAAAAGATGCGTCATTATCACTGGATGAATGGTTTAGACAAAGGCTGCATTTATGTACCACAGGGAAACACATTACTGTAATAATAAATGTAAATTAAGTCTGCTTACAATGAAGACAGAGACAGCCCCACTTGTTCAGAGCGACAGGTTTCTTATTCTGAAAATGTGATTACTGCTTTCATTGATGCCAGCAATGATGGCATTAACCTTTTGACGAAATACATTATTTGTAACATCAAAACATCAGTCTTGCTCTACAGTTTATCTTGTAATGACAGAAGAACCAGTGTGCCTGTGGAAAACAGTACATGAACTCTCTGTAGATCTTTTCAGCTACATTACCATTCTACCAATACTCTCATTTACTGCATAATATCAATTACATTTTATATAATTACTTCTGGATAAACAGCATATTCTCATTGCTGCCTTCATTACATTAGGGCCCTTGTGGACTGAGCCCCAATCACTTTTGAACAGCTATTTGAGCAACTGTACCTTGGGTATTGACCAAGTGAGTGAATATTATTGCAGGCAGAGTCTAAAGGTCTGTCTTAGCATTATATAAATAATATTGTTCCATCTGCAACAGACAATTAAGGTAACCCTTTACTGATAGTGACAATGGTGGGCAATGCCTGCACAATGTGTGTCAGCATGTCTGCTTGTAGTCTCAGCCCAGGGTACATGTGACAGAGTGACAATGCAGGAGCTCAGTTATTGCCCTATAATAAAAATGTCATGAATAAGGAGCAACAGGTATTTTTAATAAAAGTTAAACACATGTTAAAACAACCTTCTGAGCATGTAACAGCTAATATGCAATTACAGTGATGAGATTTTGTGCAAAGATCTGATTGTATAGGTTTGCTCTAAATATAACAATTTGGATTTTGCTAAAGCAGTTGACACTTAACCTCAGAGGCACCTAAAAGGGGTTGTATTACTATTTACGGTACTACATGTTTACTTAAAACTTGAGTTTGCAAAACTTGCCTCCCCTCCAGCAGTGTAGCAAGTGCAAACTCCCTCAATAGCGCTAAATCTTCATCTGGCCTTTTTTTTTATTTTAAAATACTAAAAGTTGTTATCCAATATCCACTATAGGCCAAGAAAAATGTTTTTTTTTTAAATTTTCTGTTAAACCAATTAGAATCAATCATTCATTTTAGTTCTATATGGGCTTTTTGCATTTTTCTGGATCAACCAGGTTGTTATTGTATTTTAGTTTTTTTTTCCATTTAACTTCAAACTCTATGACTATATGTGATTTAACAGCCTATATGTCAGGGCTTAAAATTTGGGCCCATAGCCAGCTGACATGTCAGGCACACGGTTGCAGACTGCGTACCTGACTTGCGGGAGAAGCTCCACAGTCTGCATCTGTGTCAGATGCAGACTGCAGAGCAGCTCCTGTCAGTTCAGGCTTCCTTTTGGGGGCGTGGTTGGGGGACAGGCCTGGGGTGGGGTTGGAGGCGGGCCTGGGCAAGGTTTGGTGGGACAACTGGTGGAGAGTAAGGTTTTTGCCTGGCTAGTAGGTCTAGACTTGAAATGTTAAGCCTTGCTATATGTGACTGGCGAGCAAGCATATATTGCCAACCTACCCCTGGCACCATCCTATGTTTGGGGCACAGACAGTGACAGGCCAGGATAATCCATCCAATTCTGTACATGATATCAGGCAGCTAGTAGACATCTGCAGAGGTTGCAGATAAACACAAAGACATTCATTCTTTTTATAATAGGTCTTTTAACAGTTTCATTTTAAACCAGTCCCAGCAGCAGTTTATCCTAATATTCTCTTTTCTTTCCCACCTGTTCACCAACAGAAGCCAATGAGAGTTAACTCAGGGCCGAGGACTCTAACCCTGCCTCACATGTGACAGTGCCAATGCCTTAGCAGCCAATCACCAAGCATGGTCATGTAGGAGAAAGGGGAATCGGTGCTTACCAATATTCATAATAGCTAGGTATCTCCGCTTCCAGCAGCAGAGTACTGGGTAAAGATAATACATGGAATTGAGGGCCAGCTTTTAAAGTCAATATTTTGCTAAATCTTGCATGGTCAACGCACAGTTTCACTTTAAGGTAAACCCCGCTAAAGCAAAGCTGCTATATAACCCTAAAAAAAAAAAATCTAAATTTGAGTTAGAGCCAAGATATTTACTAAATAGGAAATTACAGAACAGATGCTAGAGGCCATATAGCCAATGTTACAGATGACACCTATCTTAAAATGTTTCTAACGTTAATTAAATGAGGTGCCCCCCTCATAATTTAAATAGAGTATAAAATGTGCCCACCCCTGAAGAAATACCAATCTATTAACAGTTCAGTGAGCAAGAATATCCTGTAACCCAAAACAGTCAGTTCTAATTTACCTACCCATGCTGCTCAGCTTAAATCTGAATTCGGACTTGCAGGCATGGGTAATAGATAATAGTAGACATCAAACGAAAAGGTGAAAAATAATGTGAAATCATTTATACTGCAGTAAAATTGATCATTTTTCAATATGTACACAAAAGCTTTTCATTAAGTGACAGCCGTTGCTAAAATAGCCCTTGAGGAAATTAACACATACAAGCTGGAAAAACAGGATTTTTGTCTTACTGTAAAAATCTGTTTGTTGGAGTACATCACAGGGCACAGAGTTAATCCTTGAATCACTTTTGCCAAGTTACAGAAGTTCTGGCCTCTGTAGATGAATAAAACCTTGCAGTAGTATTTCACTCTCAAACTTGTTTCAATAATTAATCCAGATCAAGCAAATATACATTGCCCAGCAAAGCATTGCTATATATTTTTGCCCAAACACTTACAATCATTTTTCTGAAGAGCGGCTTCCAATTCTCTCAGCTCAGCTTCCCTGAACTTCCTGTCCAGTACAAGATCACAAAGGACAGAGTTTACCTGTCCAGTTATGGTGAGCCCCTGCCCAATGCAGCCTCCGCTTCCTGTTCTTCGCTAAGGGCTAAGGACTGAAATCCAACGTGGCAAAATGGGGTTGTAGCTCATCTGTGTCAAGGTTGAATGAGTTGTGCATATGGAGATGCTTTTCTGCTCACCAGTTTTAAAAAGCAGTTATTTGAGTAACCGTAGCCTGTCTGGCATTCTGGCTAATCTCCTCTGACCTCCATCGACAAGGCAAATCCATCCATAGAACTGCTCCTTACTAGATATCTCCAGTTGAACATTGCCTGAAGTTCCTGACCTGTATCTGCATGATTTTATGCATTGCCCTGCTGCCACGATTGGCTGATTAGATAGTTGCATGAATAAGCATGTGCTCTTGTGTTTCTAATAAACCGCTTAGTGAATGCATCTTAGAAAACAAAACAATTCCACTGCCATTATTTAATGTATCTTAGGTCAATTGAATGATGTGAATGTGCAGTATGTAAAAGTGCTGCGTAAATTGTTTGCGCTATATAAATACTAGTAATAATTAGAATTAGTTGTCTAAAACTATCAGAGCAATACAAACAAAATACCTAAAATCTACCTCTAAACCAAAATGCATGACTTAATGCATTGACCTTTGTTGTCACACTCATACGTTTGCTGCACCGGAGCAAAATATAACATGTTTGGTAAAAATGCAAGTAAACTTAAAGATAAAACACAACTAAATGTAAACAAAGGAATCCACACTTCTACAGGAATGTTTATATACTTCTAAAGAAATCAATAAATCAATCTGTACAATAAATTTTAAACACACACATTTGTCCTTTTCTTCTTTACATCCAAAACAGAAACACAATCAGCATAAAGTAAGTGTTTTTGGAACTACAGAACGATTGTTCACACCTAGTTCATCACCCAAAATATTGGATATTAGTGGATAGACATGTCAAGCGATCAACTCAAATCTTCATGTTGCCAAAGCTGCCCTCTTCTGGTCAATCACAATGAATACTACGCTTCATACAGGGCTTTACAAAAGTCTAAAGTGCAATGAGTATGTAAAATCCTCCGATGCTGGTTTTAGGATGGATTTGAACATTGTGAAATCAGCGTATCAAAGATTTCATACAAATTCTGTTCTTCTCTTCCATCAGAAGAACAATATGATCTTATGCAACAGTCCATCCATGGATATTCACCTACCAAAAAGCATCACAGATAAATGATGAATACACATTCATATACACACATATTACGCTGATAGTTAAAGGATAAATACACTTTTGTGATCTGCTGTACAAAACTGCATATGCAAGAAAAGCCTGATCAACTGGCAACACTACCAGATTGAAACAGCAATTCTCCCTGGGAAAATCACTATGGTAATAGCTGCTGGAAGTGTGCAGCAACCTCACATCATCTATACTTGTAGCAATCTTTAGTAATGTCCTTCAACCCAGAAGCTTTAAGCCATAATGTGTCAGTATGCATTGCATATTGGCACAATATGGCAGACTTACCTTTCAAAGCGATTCCCCTCCAGCGCTGAACTCCTCCCTCGGTGGCACATCCATCTTCATCCCGGTCTTGCCGGTATCGCGTCTTCGGTAGATTGGTGAGCCAGACCCAATGGCGCAATCAGTGTGCGCACACGGCTCAGCAGGCAGAAATAAAACAAATTTCTGAATAAAGTTGCTGAAGAAACTTTTATATCTCACACAGTCTGTTCTGCCATAAAAAGCCTACCAATCAGCATTTTTAAAAAATGTTTCCTTTACTTCCACTTGAAAGTTTACGTATTTATAATTGATCTAATTTAGGATCCAATATTTACCTGGTTAAAGAGGAAGAAAAACAAGATTTTTGTACTCACAGTAAAATCTCTTTGTTGGAGTTCGAGGGACACAACATCACTAGTATTCAGGAACATTGGGCTATACTGCTACCTTTAGAAGGAATTGGACACTGGCAAACAAAAAAGTCCCTGCACTGCCACAATGCTTCAATTTTCTAGAAAACCAGTATTAGGAGAAGATCATAAACACAGAGGCAAGGGACCTGTGTCCATTAATGAACTCCCAGAAAAAGATTTTACAATGAGTACAAAAATCCCATTTTCTTAATCGTTCATCAAGGGACAAAGGGCCAGTAGAAATCATGAACATTAGGACGTCCAAAACAGCTCTCCAGTGCTGAACTCCTCCCTTTCCAGCACTTCCAGTTGTCATCCTGGTCTTGAGTCTTCAGATGACTAATTGGCTAGGCCCCTTGGGTGAAGTTCTGATCAAGATACAGAGGCTTCTCCATTCATTCAGAAAATATTTTACTATCATCCAGTTTCTGAATGGGGAGGAGCCTCTGTAGTGAGTGCTTCTCCCCATGGAGAAACTCATGAACAGGAATTGATGTAAATCACATCCTGTTCATTCATAACTGGAGACACATAGTACTATGTTTCCCCAGTTATTTATAAACACTGGAGTGATCAGCTGATCGCTTCAGTGTTTGTCCTGCACAGAGGATTGGTACATATGACTGATATGTACCGATCCTCTGCTGCTGGACCACGTACAGAGGGGAGCTGCAACTTCTCCTTTGGATCTGCGCTGCTCTCCCGGGCAGAGGCGGATCCGAGAAGTGAAAGAAGTGCTGTAGCCGTGAAGGGGGCGGAGCCGCTGTCACAGAACTAAGGCCGAGCGATCACTGGTAGATCGCGATCGACCTTATGGGCACCCCTGCTCTAGAGGGTAGGACATAGAAGTACTTTTAGTGCCCTGGTGTTCTGAGTCAGCTATAACGACAGTGATTTTGTTCATAAAATGATGCACAGCTGAAGAAAACTCCTCCCCGATAGAGCAGAGGAGGTAGCCACACCTGGGGGAGCTAGGGAAGACCTTTAAGGAGTGTGTGAACACAAGCAGGGCAAAATGATCAGCAGCCTAATAAATATTCTTGATTGAAGGAAAAATAGCCTTGATAAAAAAAAACACTTCTCGCTGAAGAGAATGATGTTGAGGAAAGATTAAAGAAATATATTTTTGATAATTAACATAAGAAAATATATATATAAAAAACATGATATCCATATTAATAAACCCTTAGATTAGAAAACCTACTAGTTTTGGGATCAGGTCTTTAAACCTGATCAAAGATACATTGAGATGCAGTAAACAGGAATATACTAAATGTCTTACTACTGTATTTTTTATTGATCCCTAGCAATAATGTCAAAGGCCCATCACACATCGCAGAGAAGGACATGTGCTAGTTGTGTATCAGCAGCAGTACAACAAGGCTAAAGCTACCAGATCTAAACTATAAAGCTGGTGGCATTAAGGAACACCTTTGGTGACTAGGCTTTGTTGAAAGCCACCATTCCTTAACTCATAAGCAGCAACTTATGTTCCAACAATGTGCAAGATCAGTGTCACTGTCTCACAATTAGCATGTGAAACACGAGGGGGTTGCTGCCATCAGGTCTGTAGCTCTCCTCCAACTGTGTCCGTCTGCCTCATATTGGGAATATACTGTATGTTCATTAAAATATGTTATAAGCAAGTAAGTGTTTGGCATTTTGGCAGAGTAAGGCTTCCAAGATTCTGCCATCTATAGAAAACAGCTGCAATTTTCAAAATTTGAAGATCAATTTCTCCACGATGCTTATAGCTACAGGTATGAGGGCTTGTTTTCAAGTGTCTTTATTGCTCGTTCAGAATATGTAAATACTTTCGTGTGCATAGTATAGGCACAGGTCCACTTTAACAAAGGGAAACCAGTTCACAAGAATAAAATGCAATGGTATCTATATTTCATGTACAGTGCATACAATAAACACTTACTTATTGGTTTTCCTGGAGGGCACAGTGTATTCATAATGTCATGAAGTCGTTCTTGTAAAAGATTTGCCATAAATATCTCAGAAGCAGAAATCTGGAAGAACTGTTCCTACAATTGCAGAAGGCATAACATATCCAAAAATACTTATACGCCACAATATGCAGCAAAAAGAAACAATACAAGAAACTGCAATCAGCAATCACCTGGTAACCAACTACAAGAAACGTCTTACCTCTGTGCTTGCCAACAAAGGCTTCTCCACCAAGTACTAATTCATGTTTTGCTTGGGGATCAAATACTTATTTTACTCACTGAACTGCAAATCAATTTATAACATTTGTATCATGTGTTTTTTTCTGGATTTCTGGTTAAAATTCTGTCTCTATCATTTAAAATACACTTATGATAAAAATGATAGACCTTTAATTTCTTTGTAAGTGGGCAAACTTACAAAATCTGCAGGGGATCAAATCATTATTTTCCTCACAT